CAGTAGAGGATGGGGGCAAGAAAACTTTTTCCTCTCTTTCTTTCCTTCCATCTTCAGTCAAGAGCACTGCATATTGTAGAAAACCAAGAGTGAGGAAGAAGAGGTTTGCAACTTAAGCAGCTGTAGTCATTCAACTGAAAGGAGCTGTGACTCAAGGTTCTAAGCAAGACTTGTCCAGGCAATGCCCCCCAGAAATCCAGAATGATTCTCCCTTTCCTAAATGTCAGATCCCTCAGCACTACATCCGTGTTCCTAACACTATGAGATTTAAACAGCAATTGGACAAACCCAGGGTAAAGGGCCATTTGCAGTTGGGGAAAAAGATACTTCCCCTCCCCTAAAGCGTCCAGGGGACTGTGACTGGCACCGTGCGGCGGCTCAGCATCCACGGCATGTCTTCCCATCTGCTCCTGATGGCACTGACAGGCAGGTGGGTGCCCCCTGCCATGTCGTGGGTGCTGCACCAAGCACCTGGCTCAGCATCTCCACTGCTTTGTTACGGTGCCAGAGCTGGGACGGGGGCCAGCCACCCCCACTGGTAACCAGGCTGACTCCTCCACTGGGCCAGTCACTCCAGGAACGCCGAAGCCTCAGAGCCTCGGGTGCCTTTTTCTTCCAAATACAGCTGGCGTCTCCCAACCCGCTCAACCCAAGCTCAGATCGCAGGCAGCTCCCAGGCCAGCACTATTCTGACAGCATATGGTCCTTCGGGATGGATCCCCCCGCAGCTGCTGCCCCCGCTGTCAGCAGGGCGGACGCACACTCGGGGCTCGGATCCCGCAGGTTCAGGTCCTGCGGGCTGCACCCGCCCCTGGCCACAGTTTCCCTGCACAATGGGAACGGCAGGATGAACTTCATGTTTTCAGAGAGAGCAGATTTTTGCTTCTTTCTAAAAATGCATTTAGTTATTTTGGTACTGAAAATGCAAGGAAAGAGCCCTATATCTGGATCCAAACACATTGCTTCTCTCTGAAGTCTTCGAGATTTACAGCATATAAATTACAAGCAGCCTGAGAAAGGGGTAACCCCCAGCTGTCAGCTCAGACAACCGAGGCCCAGGTAGGTGGCTGATCCAAGATCACTGGATACTATATGGCTGAGCTAGGATGTAAACCTTGTGCCTCTGTAATACACAGTTACTGGGATGGCTGTACTGAAACCTTGTGCCTCTGTAACATAGTTACTGGGATGGCTGTACTGAAACCCTGTGCCTCTGTATTACACAGTTACTGGGATGGCTGTACTGAAACCCTGTACCTCTGTAATACACAGTTACTAGGATGGCTGTACTGAAACCTTGTGCCTCAGTATTACACAGTTACGGGGATGGCTGTACTGATGGGGTACAAGGGCTGTGGACAAGGTCAGGAACGGTGCTGCCCTGCCTGGCAACACTACCTAATCCCTGGCTCTACGCAACACTGAAGGCTTCTCGTTCTCTGGGCATGTGAAATAAGAAGTGTCAGATGGATATGAAAAGTAACAGGAACAATACTGCCAAAATTCATCTAACATGTACCCTGACCTCCCTGTCCAGCTATCTTCCATCCCTGTCTAGCAGGCCGGGTCTCGAAGGATGTGGGGGAGGCTGTGTCAAAAACAGACACACATACGGGAATGCTATTCACGATCCATGGCACAGTGTCGGCCTCCAGGAGGCTCAGGACCCAGGTCCCATGTTCACCTTGCCCCAGTGTGGACCTCGCATCCCTAACCAGACCCAGGTCTGCAGGGGCCAGCCGGAGAGCCCTTTCCTGGCTGAAGACGGCATTAGCCCGCATCCTGCCGTGCCTGCCAGCCAAAGCGGCGTCCACGGGGCAGCTCAGGAGCCACTATCCCTCTGAGACGACAGAGGGTGCAGCCTAGGCATGTCCTGAAACCGGTCTCATGAGGGTGAGCAAATGCGATTCATGAAATACCAGCAAAATGTCTTAAAGTTCCTAACCCGGGGAACTGGTTCATCCCTCCTAACGATGGTCTAGACAAATATTTTTAGAAGCTCTTAATACCATTTCTTTCTGGATTTGTGACGATCTCATCATTAGAACGTCTTCACAACCTTCAAAGAGATGAAATTAGACCCCTCGCCCCAACTGAAGACATTCTTTCCTGTGACCTTTTGTGTGAGGGTCAAAGGAATTTTTTTTTTTTCTTCTTTTGAGACAGGGTCTTCCTCTGACCCAGGCTGGAGTATAGCAGCGCAATCTTGGCTCACTGCAGCGTCGACTTCCTGGGCTCAAGTGATCCTCCCACTTCAGCCTCCCAAATATCCGACAGACGTGCACTACTGTGCCCAGCTAATTTCTATGTTTTTTGTAGAGACGGGGTTTTGCCATGCTGCCCAGCCTGGTCTTGAACTCTTGAGCTCAAGCAATCTACCCATCTTGGTCTCCCAAAGAGCTGGAATTATAGGTGTGAGCTGCTGTGCCCAGCCCAAAGGAATTCTTAATGATGAGTTGGTCCATTTTATTGGCTGAAAACACACCGCTGTTATCCCAGTTTAGGGACAGTAGGGTCAAGAGATGGCCATGAACAGACAGTAAAAAAGTAAGACAGCGCAACCTCATAATAAATGCCACATATGACACGGCTGAAAAATGCAGGTGTGAGGGGAAGTATGTAGCCTTTTCCTCATCACTTCAGGAATGTCTGTCCAACCGCACACACACACACGCTGGCACGTCACACAGCCACTGACAACAGCAGACGCGGGTGGGCTCACCAGGCACCGCAGCCTCCCTGGGAGTGGGCTCGGACAGTGTTCTGCAGCCTGCTTGCCCACATGTGCCCCTATGGGCATGCATTTAGGAACACCCACAAGGAGAGTGTGGGCCTCCTCCTGCTGCCTGAGCTCACCCACTCCGCGGGACATAGATGACCTCATTTCCCCAGCTCCTCCCATCCGCATGCATTTGGACACTCCCAAGTGTTTGTGATGCCAACAAGGCTGCAATGGACAAGCTCCTCTGTAGAGTGGATTTCTCTAGGGTGGGGAGCTGCCGGGAAGATGTTATGAACCCCAGTGCTAACTGGTAACAGGTGAGTGCCCTCCAGAGGGGTTGCCCTAAGGCCCAGTGGTCCCGAGGGCCCCGTGCCCCACATTCCAACCGGGTCACGCTTAGCGTTTACTTTCTGTCAATCTGAAGAAATGGCATCGTGAGGACCAGTGGTTGCTGGGACGGCGGGAGGGAGGGCTGAACAGAGAGCAGAGGATGTCCAGGGCAGTGAACCCACTCTGCGCAATGCTGTAGTGGTGAACAATGCTACGATACGTTTGCCCAAAACCACAGAACCGCGGCACCAAGCATAAGCCCCTGGTGGACCCTGAGTGGTGAGGGACTGTGGACCCCGGGCAATGACGACAGGGCCCCCTGAGTGGTGAGGGACTGTGGACCCCGGGCAATGATGACAGGTCCCCCTGAGTGATGAGGGACTGTGGACCCCGGGCAATGGTGACAGGCCCCCCTGAGTGGTGAGGGACTGTGGACCCCGGGCAGTGGTGACAGGCCCCCCTGAGTAGTGAGGGACTGTGGACCCTGGCCAATGATGTCAGGCCCCCCTGAGTGGTGAGGGACTGTGGACCCCAGGCAATGGTGACAGGCCCCCCTGAGTGGTGAGGGACTTGGACCCTGGCCAATGATGACAGGCCCACACGGGCTCACTGACTGTAACAAACGCACCACTCCAGGATGGGGTTCATGTAGGGGTCGGGGGGGGGGGGGCTGTGCGTGTGTCGGGGGAGGGGTACATGGAAAATTCCACACTTTCCATTCAATTTTTCAGTGAACTTAAAACTGCTCTAAAAATAAAGTTTATTAATAAAACAGTGCCTTGTTTTAACAGGCAATGTTAGTTGCTAATGAGGCTAAGTTATATGTGTATGAGTTTATTGTTTATTTCTATTTCTTCTTCTGAGAGTTGCCTGTTCATGTCCTTTGAACATCTTCTATTGGGTTGGTTATCTTTTTCGTAGTTTAATAAGAAATCTTTGTATTTTAAGAACATTAATTCTTAGTCATAGATACAGGAAATTTTTTCCCAATTTTTCCTCCATAAATATTTGATACACGTATTTCAATGTGAAAAAGTTACTAAACTGTACCATTTTATTTATTATGGTAACGTCTGGGTTTGTGGCATGTTTGGAGAGGCTTTCCCCATTGTAAAGTAATAAAACTATTCTACTGCTTTTTATCTTAGAGGCTTATAGTTTTGTTTTCATGTTGAAATTCCCATGCATCTGGAGTGTTTAGAAGAGGAGAGGGCCAGCTCTGCGTTTTCCAAATGGCTGCCCACTTATCTCCTGATTCTTTGGTGAATGATCCATTTAGCCCATTGAATTGAAATGTCACCTCAATCAAATGCGAATTTTCCCTAAGCCCTGGAGGACTCTATAGGTTCACACTGAACACACTTCTTAAAGCAATGTTTCTTTTACTTAGCAGGTAACCAGTGAACACAGCTAACTGGTTAAAAAAATGGTTAGTTGAATTTTCTTGCTAATCTTGTCTTTCTGAGCAAAATCTAGAAGGGATTTTCTTATCCTTTCCCTTGGTTTTTTTTTTTTTTTTTTGAGACAAGGTCTTGCTTTGTCACCCAGGCTGGAGTGCAATGGCAAGAATTCGGCTGAATGAAGCCTGGACCTCCTGGGCTCAAGTAATGCTCTTGCCTCAGCCTCCCAAGTACTTGGGACTACAGGTGCGCACCACCACATCCAGTACCAGTGCGCACTGCCATACCTAGCTAATTTTTTTTATAGGGACAGGGTCTCACTTTGTTGCCCAGGCTGGTCTGGAACTCCTGAGCTCAAAGGATCTTCCAACCTCGGCCTCCCAAAGTGTTGGCATTACAGGTGTGAGCCACCGTGCCCGGCTAGAAGGAATTTTCTTTTAGCACGTGGCCACAGGCAAGAAGTCTTCTTTGACTTCGGCACCGGAAGTCAGCTGAGCTGTTTCTGAAATGCACCTTTTCCGCACTGTGTAGCCACCTAAGCGACTTACCTCTACAGCATGAGTCTCCACACTGATGATGAAGACTTGACCTCCAGAAGCCGCCCACAAGGTGTCTTCCATCATGAGTAGACTTCTAACCGGCAGGACGCCTAACTTTATCACTTTTTGAGGTTCTGAATCCCAGGATCCATCTTAAAAGAAAATATTTCATTTCATTCAAGTTCAGTTTTCTGTACACAGGAACAGGAAAATAGGATCGCATATCATTTTAAATAACTGACAACTGAAAGATCACCCACAGTGTTAATGCTTGTGCCTGATCCTGGGTGTGTCCGGGGATTCACAAGCTGACACCCACCCCAGTCGGGCCATGGTGCACAACCAGGACGCATAGACAGCTGCGGGACAGGCAGCCCTCAGGATCCCCCCTCCCTGTGCCTATCCCTTCCATGTGTGTCCCAGACAAACCACTCATACACCCTGAATCTCAGCTTCCTTCAGGGTAAGATCGAGACCATCCTACCACTAGCCACAAAGGTTGTTTCAAAAATTAAAAACGAAATAACGCACGTACAAAGCTCAGCAAAGTACCCAGCACACAGGTGTTCAATCAATACTACCATTTACAATAATAGTACATAAGATGATCTGGTCATCATGAAAAGGAACTGCATTCACGGTATAACTGGGGAGATGTTACATTTCCCCATTAGCTGTTTCCGTTCTAACATGTGCCTTGCTCTATACTGCATCACGAGGAGAGGCCATATGTTCACAGAATACTTCTAAGAAATCAAAATTGAAGTAAAAGGAATTCCTTACTTTTGATGAGTTTGTTCCCTTTCTTGAAGCCTAGAGTCACATGAAATATTCTGGTCTGAAAATATTTCCAAAGATCTACTGACGAAGTCTTTCACACTTTATATCAAGTATGAGTTGCTAGCTTGAATACCAATAAAAATTATTTGAGGCAAGATTTACCACAAACTTTTAAAGTGACTAATGTAATTATCCTATAAATAATTAAAATGAATTCTTCAATTCTCAATCTAACCATTAATTAAGCCAGTGACCTTAAAAGTGTAACTAAATTATTAATCCATCAATGCCGTCGACTTCCTAATCAAATAAACATGCTTCACTCAGTCAGGAGAACACAGCCTCAGTTCTTATCTCTTTGTTCCAGATTTCAAGCACTGAACCTTTGAATACAAAACAAGTGTCTGAAGCGGAGGTGTGCAGTCACTAAAAGACAATTATGCAAGCTTTGACTTTTGTGGCATACTTTTAGTTATGATTCAACGTTAATGGAAATGCTTTTATGTTGCAATTAGGCTAAAAGTGTTGCAGCGTAATTATTAGCCCCAGTGAACACGGGCCTGGCTTTTCATTTGCAATATCTGCACAGGGCCCATTGTATCATTATGTGATTAAAGATGCACATGCACAATGCACATGCATGCACACACACAAGTGCACATGCCATATGCATACACACACGTGCATGTCACACACATACACACACACGCAGGCATGCACATGTACACACGCACTCACCCACAAGTATGTGCACCTGCGGTCACATGCACACATGGACACACACGTGTGCACACGTATACTCAAGGCACACAAACCTGCCTGCACACACACATATGCCCTCACAATCACGTGTGCATACACACATGTGCATACATGCACACACACACCTGCTCACACATGCACATCCCCTCACACTCCTGTGCATACACACATGTGCATGGGCCTTCCCATTTGGTACTCATAGCCCTTTAAAGCACTGCACACTGCAACCTCCAGAAATACGTGGGTTCAGGGCAGAGCTACAATTTTCTCTGACATTCACACACTCTGAAGGGCATGGAGTGGCACAAGAACGCAGGGTTTTGAATCCTAGGTCAGAGCTCTCTCTGTCTACTGCCCACTGTGCTTGGATCCTGGCTGTCCGGTGTGGCTTGGCAGTGTCCTACCAATAGCACAATTCCTTTGAAACAAGAACTCCAAGATCAATGACAGGATGGCCTACTTCAGACATTTTGCTTGGTTAAGGTTTGACTTCCAACAATTGAACTTTGTTCTCTGAGCACCTGGGTGGGTCATTCTGCAGTGTGGGCTTGTCTTTCTTGGGATGACTTCTCCCTGTATATGTGCCCCAGGCCAGAGCCCTCAGCAGGCTGCCCACATCGCAGCTGGACCCAAGCACACGCTAATGACGTTTTGAACTAACACTTAAAAATCTGGAAATTGACCACAGAATTTCAGATTTTTAAGTCCCTTGAAACATCAGAGCCCTGGCAACAGTGAGGGGCTGGGAAGCAGCCTCCTCCTCCCTCTGCACAGGCCGAGGCCTCCAGCCAGCCACGTTCCCCACCACCAAGAATGAAGTGGCAGGCTATGCGCTTCTGAACAGGCTGCCTCGCACACTCCCACACGGTACGCCTGCCAGCGCTCGGTGAGGAAGATGCAAACAGACACGTTCGGCAGATCTCAGTTACAGATCATGCAACGCGTCTGATGAGGCGAAAACACAGTCCAGCACAGGGCTCCGCAGGGGACAGGACAGCAATGCAGACAAGTAAGAGGCTGGAGAGATGCTCACTAGTAAACCCAGGGGAAAAAAGGGAGACATAAGCATAAAATACATTCCATTTAATAGAAATGTAATTTCTATTCCATTTAATAGAAATGTGATTTTTCCATTTAATAGAAATGCAATTTCTATGGCATTTAATAGAAATTAGAAAAACAGAAAAAAATCCAGATCATGTGAAAAAGTCCTATCAACACACATTTCTCCACGAAGCTTCATGAAAGAGTTGAGTGCAGAGTGATAGGAACACAGGCAGCAGCAGGGAGGTGGCCTCTGCCTACCGTGGAGCAGAAACAGGATGGGAAAGCCAGCCAAGGAGGCTGGCAGAGGTTATGACAACAGATGAATGACAAAGCAGGACTGGAATGGGAGAGCCCAGCCCTGAGGACACACAACCGTCCATGGAGAACTGAAATCATGAGGCCAAGTGAAGAGGGGGTGCAGACTGGAAGCCAGGCCGAGGCACCCACCGGATGAGAGGGAGGCAACCAGGGGCCCGCCAAAGAGCCAGGGATCCGCCAGCGATCAGCAGGGTCAGAGTCCAGATGGCTGCGGGGGCGAGACAGGAGCGGCTCCTGTGCTGACTCTGCCTACCGGAGTCAGAAAGAAGACCAGGCCTTCTTGGTGCAGGTGCACACACAGGCCAGGCTGGAACTGAGAGAAGAGACGGACCCTTTTATATTGTTTTACATTGTTTTCTGCTCAGAAAAGGAAAGAAAAGCGAAACAAAAGGCAGGTAGCCTGGCCCCTAGGAACCAGACCTGAAATCAAGAAACCAGACCCAAAACCAGGCTTAGGCCTGCCTGACCTAAGCCTGGTAGTTAAAATTCCACCCCTGACGTAGCAGCAACTGATGTTATCTATAGATTCCAGACATTGTATGGAAGGACATTGTGAGACCTCCCGTTCTGTTCTGTTTCACTCTGACTACCGTCGCTGGCAGCCCGTCACGTAGCCCCTGCTTGCTCAATTGATCACGCCCTCTCACTTGGACCCCCTTAGAGTTGTGAGCTCTTAAAAGGGACAGAAGTTGGGCACCTGACAAGCTCGGATTTTAAGACGCTAGCCTGCCGATGCTCCCAGCTGATTAAAGCCACTCCCTTCACTATCTCGGTGTCTGAGGGGTTTTGTCCAAGGCTAGTCCTGTTATAGAACCACATCGCAGAAGGAGGGGCTGTCTCCATGGAGCCAGTGGAGAGAACCTCCCCAAGGAGGAGGCGTCAAAGTCCGAGGGCAAATAACACCCCAGGCTCTGGGAGGGGCTGGCGCAGATTTCTAAGGAGGGAGGAACTCCAATAGCAGCAGGCAGCCAAATGCTCAAAGCAGAGAGAACCAGGGGTGGTTGGAGGGCAGAAGGCCTTGTGGGCAAGGAACAAGGACTGGAGGACTGGAATTCTATTCTAAGTACACTGGGGACTCACCAGACAGTTTTCAGCAGGGGAGGTAAAAACCTTATCTACAGTTTAAAAAGCTCAATAACAAATATTTGGAGAATGAATCAGTAGAAGCACAAGAATGAACGCGAGGCTAGGCTGCCATTCAGGCAGGAGCTGGGCGGTTTGGACCAGGGTGGTGACGGTGGGGGAGTGAGCTGGGACATGGGGCACAAGAACAAGTGGTGGATGGCCTGGGGAAGACGACAGGACCCACCAAGGCGTCACTCCCGGCCGTGGGGAGGGTGGCGCAGGGCCACTTTCGGTGAGGGAAGCCCTGTGTATTCCACTCCAGCATGGCAACACTGAGACTGGCTGGGATCCAGCTGGGGCTCGGCACCCCTGCGCTCAGGGCTGAGTGAGGGGCCAGGAGAGCAGCCTCAGCCAGCACCAAGGAAGCTGGAAGGAAAGCCCCGTACCCAGAGCTCCCACAAGCAGCAGTGGCCAGATCCACAGGAAGAGGCTGCAAAGCACAGCTGCCACCAACGCAGCAGGGGCTGGAGAGAGAACAGACGCACAGCAGCCTGCTCACCCCCAGTGGCTGCGGGGACCAGGCGGGATGGGCCAGGGAGCGCCTCGTCTGTGGCACCCAGCAGAACACAATGCAGTCCTTAGCCCTGTTGGCCAAGAGAACAGCAGGGACCGAGGGCACAGCACCGGGGCAGAGGGCTGGCCCAGGTCCAGGAGGCCCCGCTGGGCAGGCAGGCTGCCCTGGCCAGCTGGTCAGCACAGGACACGCTGAAGGAGGGCACTGCATGGCCCGGCACCCCCCCCGAGGGGGAGAAACAGGCAGGCCGAGAGAGGGGGAGGGTGGGAGGAGACGGGGAGACTGACTTCTGAAACGATGTCTCTATATTCAACAAACACCTTTTGGGGAAGAAGCAAGGAATACAGGCCTAGGGCAAGGGTGACAAGCTTGGGAGCGGAGGCACAGGGGCGGGGGCGGAGGCGGGGCGGGGGGGGTGGGGGTGGGGGTGGGGGGGGCGGAAGGCCCGGGGGTAGAATGCTAAACCAGATGCAGCGTCCCCCCGAGTGAACCCCGAGGACCCGCCAGGAGGCTGTGAGACCTGCCTCACCTGGGGCCCTGGCGTAGCTGGCGACCGCCCCGTTGACCAGGCCAGCGTACAGGCTCTGAGACGTGCATGCCAGGCTCATGACTGTGGACTTCTCGGGAGTGAAAAAGTGCTGAAGTCTCACTTTCTTGGAGCCTTGACTGCTTTTATAAATGGAAATGCTTTAAGAGAAAAATAAAAGCTCATAAATATATTTGCTCCTTGTGAGAAGAACCAGGATGCCTATTAACATAAACACAAAACTTTCCAACTCTTCCCTCTTGCCCTTCCTTCTCCATTCCTAGGGACACTTGCCTGTACTTTTAAAAAATTTGCAACCACCTTGATTTCTTTATTTTTAAAAGGGAAATTCTAGGATATATGAAAAAAATTAGTTCTTCCTATATATCTTGGAACTTCACATCAGGCAAATCATTTTAACTCTCCTTTAAATGGTGTCAACAATTCAGTATGATCATGACATAGAATATGGCTGTTTTATTCCAAAATATAAGGGGGATATGCTTTTAAAAACTATTAATAAAAATGAGACATTTCAGTGGCAAACAGCCAAACGTTCCCCTTTAAAGAAATACTACTTCTCTTTAAGAGTTTCCTAGAATAATTTCCATGGGTCCAATTGACTAGTTATTTCAAAATGCAATGACCCTAAAAATGTCCCCTGGTATCCCCTAATTCCTGCACAGGCTACTCCTGAGTCAAAATCAAGGACTCTTTCCAGGACAGGCTCCCCACCACACCCTCCACAGGCAGAGCTGGCTGATCCTCTGCAACGCGGTCAGCACACCCTACCTTCCCTCCTCCGTCCCTACACAGATCGTGGGGACCTCAGAAGCTCTCACGGCCGGGGTCTCGGGGTCCAGGGGTGCCCCGGGCTCTCTGCGCTTCTCCTCAACAGGAATGTACAGCATGCAGAGGATGCGAGATTCCACGTTGAAGCACTCGATGACTTTGGGGGTGGAATTTTGAAACGAGACGATGGCGATCTGACCCATTTGATGGGTGCAACTTCCGATCTGAATCAGAGAATCAGGAGGAAAAAAGAAAATGAGCGTGTGGGGGCTTCCATAATACGCTGGAACCTGACACTTAAAGGCCACGACAAGCTTCGATTTTCATGTGAGAATCAACACACTTAGAAAATTCAAAAAAATGCTTAAACAATTGCTCACGGAGCCCCTTTTTCTTTCAACATATTTAATTTGGTTTCCAAAACATTTTAAAGCAAGAGCGTAGCTTTCATTTTCACAAAGTCACATTTCTATACTTTAAAAATCATGTACTCATCACAATATGAAGGTAAGGGCCCATCCATCCTCAATTTAAAATCCTAAGAGGCAGATCATTATCAATTTTAATAACAACACTAATGTTTAATGACCTTGGTTAAGAAAATAAACCTTTCAAATGTGAAAAACATCAATAAGAATACATCTCAAGGTAGATCATTGGAATTCAACATGTGGTATGCTGTGGAATTTCTTTTTTTTTTTTTTTTTTTTGAGACAGAATCTCACTCTGTCACCCAGGCTGGAGTGCAATGGCATGATCTCAGCTCACTGCAACCTCCACCTCCTGGGTTCAAGCGATTCTCCCGCCTCAGCCTCCCAAGTAACTGGGATTACAGGCACACGCCACCATGCCCAGCTAATTTTCGTATTTTTAGCAGAGATGGGATTTCACTATGTGAAAGTACAGATGGGGTTTCACTATGGTTGGCCAGGCTGGTCTCAAACTCCTGACCTCATGATCCACCCGCCTTGGCCTCCCAAAGTGCTAGGATTCCAGGCGGGAGCCACTGCGCCTGCCGTAGATTTTCTAAAGTAGCATTGCTGCAACAGTGTACATGAACTTCCTGTGTGTTTGAATCTCTACAATGAGAACACATAGCATAGTTAGTTTCCCAATTTAACCTCAAATTTATTTATCCATTTTTTAAGTGGGAAAGGGTCTGATCCCTGTGAACAGAAAGCACTAGCTGGTTTAGGGTGGCGTTTTCATTGATTCTTTTTCTTTTCCGCCAACTTTGAGAATGTTGTTAGACTCTCCTTATTCTTCCTGTATTTGCTGATGCTACATACAGACATCCCACTTTCATGCTTTTGTGGGAAGGACGCCAATCTGCCAAGCCCCTGTTCTGCCTACAGGGCCTGGGGGCTGTGACCAGGCCAGGGGATGAAGCTTCGGCGATGACAGGTCTGCCTACCCGGACGGAAAACAGTTCTCTTGGAAGTGGAAACCCACAAGGGAATTAAGGCTGCTCCTCCATTCATAGTCTGGTGCAAATGAAATGCCAGGTAATTGGGTTGTTCAGTTTCTCACACTCAACTAGGAACACCGACCAAGCAGGAGCTGTGGCTGTGAGAAGTGAGAGGCGGTGGCGTGCTGCACAGGATGCCTGGGAGGGAAGCATGAGAGTTTGGAAAAGCACAGTGGAGCCCTGGAGGGCGAGTCTGAGGCTGCAGGGAGGGAACACAGGAAACCAGACACGGGAGAGCCTGGGACCACACAGCTCTAAGAATGTCCTCTGGTTTGCAGGAAGCAGGAAAGTCTACTGCAATTCCAGCCTAATTTCAGATGCGATATTTCATTTGGAACAAATTAATTTTAACTGCTAAGTTTCCACTGGAAAAAGCCAGTCTGGGAACAAGAAAAAAAATCCATGCAATGTTGACACCAAAATGGAAAAACATATTAAAATTATTCTCTTATTAGTTAGTTGTCTTTGGACTGAATTTTATCTGGTAAATGTTTTAGATGAAAAGGAAAAGAAACAAATATTTGCATTCCTAAGAACTCTAAATCTTTTCCAAAAGTGATCAGCTCCTTTTCAAAGAAGTTTTCGTGTTTATAAGTACACTCTGGGATATGCCACCACCAACTCTCTACTTAGCAATTCACATCTCAGTCTCTCATCACACTAACCATGAATGTTGATTCTCTGTGAACTTGCACCAAAACCAAATAAACACATCTTACCCACAGGAAACCATGTGCCGTGGAAAATGAATCTGGCTGGCTTTCATTGTTTAGGTAAGGTTCAGGATTATAAGCAGCACATTCAATCTAAAATGGAATAAAATCAAACGCTCACATATAAAACAGAGCTAAGAGGCTCCTAGACTACATAACGTCTTAAATGGATGACTTACTTCCAATGTATAACCACAAAAAATTACAGGTTCATCATCTACCAAAGATTAAAACGGGGAGGATAAAAGTTTAAAAGTACAACTCTCAGAAGTTAGCTTTTTAGAAGCGAACACCTAAGTGGATTCAACCTTCGGTATCTTACTCTTCAGATCCCATCAGCACGCTGAAATCCAGCGTGTCGGGGCACTTCAGATGGGAGGGCTGGCCCTGCAGGCATCAAGTGCAGTCTGTGATGGCCTGTGCCTCTCCCCTTCCCTGTCCCACCCCAGCCTCTCCCAGAGGAGTCCTGTGCACTGCCTGAGACTCCCAATGGGAGGGGTCGAGGAGCGGCTGGGAAACCCTGGCCAGAGACCAGGGTGAGAAGAAATATCTTTATTTCTTAAAGAGTAGGACATCGTCCACGTCACTGAAGGCCCTAGTCTGTGATGCCTGAGTCAGCAGCACTGGCAACATGAATAAGATGCCACCCTGGAGATGGAGTCGAGTCCGCCAAGGCAGAGAGCGGGCACGGTGCCTCAAGCAGACAGGAGACCTGGAGTTAACGATCCACTTGGAAACAGACTGCTTGCCAAGCAAAGGCAAAACAGAGCCACACATGTGAAACGTGTCCCATTTAACTAACAAGGCCTCAGATGCTGTGGCACTGCTGGAATGCCCGAGGGTCCTGGCCCAGGACCGGGCTTCGGAGACAACGGCTGGGCATTTTTTTAGGTTTCAAACAACAGCAGTCTTATTTCCAAACAAACGACCTCTAGAGAAGCAGTCACTGTGGTGAACCTGGGAAGACCATGTTCTGACCACGCCCCTTAAGAATCATCCCCCAGGTGGCCCGGTCAGAGCTGCGAGGTGCACCCCACCCCGGGCCGCGGGCCCTGCTCCCTTCACCTTGAACTCCTGCTGCTTGGCCACCATCACGGGCATATGTCCGACAAGGAGAGGATGCTTCTCCTTTTTAATGTGATTCCCATCGTCTTCCACACAGAACCAGCCCATGTGGTTCTCCTCTTCTGCGATCAGATTCAGAGAGAAATGAGCAAGAATGCAGTCAACCCACACACAACAGGCCTGCTTCACAGGTCACAGAGCAAGAATGCAGCCAACCCACACACAACAGACCTGCTGCACAGGTCACAGCAGGGGAAGTCTCTGGCATTGCTTGTATAGGGCCAGACGACGCCATTGTGGAAAACAGACAATCTCTTCTTAAAGCATAGGCTGTATATTCACAGCATTATTTTAGGAGGCAGCCTGGTCTCATCTAAGCGGCAGGGACCTCTTTCTGTTTGCGCCACCTGAACACGCTGGACCCAAGGGCTGTGAAACTTCGCTGTATAAACCACATAGGTCTACTTCCCTTTGTCGTTCTCCAGTTTTTCCAAAGCAAAAGAAATGTTGAGATCAAATACCAGAGATGTACTGAGAAACTTTAAAACATGGTGTAATACTATGGGATCAACAAAAGTACAATGAAACGGAGAAATATTTTACTACCAAATCAAACTGTCAACCTGAGCATTAAAGAATATGTAGCTGATCTGAAGACGAAGTGGGGCTTATCTGCACGTCCAGCTCATTCTCTTTAGAGAGTGGCCACTTCCTCGTTTGCTAAGTCACTCTGAACCTGACCTGGCAAACGACCAAATTATTCAGCAAATGGAGAGGGGCTGTGTTTCTGCTTCCTCGTCAAGTGACCACAACGTCAGGACAGCTTTCCCTTCCAGGACAAAGCCCTTCCGCTGATGAGAGCTCCCTGGAGCAATGGCGTTACCCATACTCTGCACTTCTCTTCTGTATTTTATACTCCGTTAACATTTCAGACTATCTACAGCAGAAGGAAAATTTTACACACACACGACATCCCAGTGTGTTCTGGGTAGCAAGTCTGTAAGCATGTGTGTAAGTACATTACACACACCCAGCAAAAAATAATCAAGGCTGAAGAGACATAGGAACAAGGAAATCAAAGTCACATCCATCTACAGTGAAACCCTAGGGTTTATCTTTGGTGCTGGGAGGATCTTTAGTGACTCCTCAGCCCAACCCTGTGTTTTGCTTCTCAGTGAGGGGTGAGCACAAGGGCCAAGAGGAACAATGACCTCCCCTGCCATTTGGAGGCCGCCGCCCACTGCCCACTGCCCACCGCCCGCCTTGAGCACCTGGCTCACAGTCAGGCTCCACGGGCTTCCTCTGTGTTCAGCTGCCTCAGCTGATATTCATGTTCTGGTACCAGAAACACCATCCATTTTAACACAAAACCCCTCCATTTTAATATGCAAGCCCTCCATTTTAATATGAACGTCTTAAAAATCACTGGTGCTAGGGTGAATTTTCCTGTTTAGAAACACTTTCAGGTCAATGGATGGATCTACTGCTGCATTTCCTTCTCAACCCTGACCTCACCCTTGTGGGCAGGAATTCATCATCACGCCGCATGCCTCATTCAGCCTCAGTCAGCCAGGCCTTACCCAGGGCGAGCTTGGCCATCTGTAAGCTGTTGACCCAGGACTCCTTGATGGCAGGGGTGAACGTATTGAACACAGCTGTAAAGAACGTCGGTCGCCCAGATCTGCCAGAAACAACAGACAAGCATTCACTTTATAAAACGTGCTCCATCCTGTGAGGTTAAATTACACATTTTGCCCATCTGATAGAATCAGCAAACCAAAACACATGCACGTCATGACAAAGAACCATTTCTCCCCCCCAGCATTGGCCAAGAAGGTTTCGTTTTAAAGCTACTACTAACTTGTCCTGCTTCCCCGGGAGCTGTAACTGAATTCTGCAGCAGTCCGCAGCTCTGATTTCATCTTCTTTCTTCAAAATAAGCCTTTGTAAACCTGACGTCCAGTCATGGGCTACTGACTGGTTTAAGTTCTACAAAGGAAATAAATACGCACATTTCAAAAGTGTTTAAAAAGTAGGGCCATCCCAAGGAAGATAAAAAAACAAAATTTTAATATGAGAAATTCAGACCAAACGAAACTATCGGATTATGAAAAAGAAAGCTTTGGGAGTCAGATGACATTGGTTGGGGGGGGGGGGGGGGCTGAGACATTTCTAAAATAAAACTGATATTCAAGCCTATTGGCAAAATGAAAAAAAGTTACCATTATATACTCACCTTATCTAACATAAGAGAAAATGTACATTCAGATTAATTTTTAAAGTCAAAGTGAATTCTCACTTCGGGTAGAACTTGGAGATATAATCACATACTTACAATGACTTATAAGTAAAGGCAGAATCTTAAATCCAATTGCTTTGATTGTTACCTGATAGTTTCCTTTAAGGTTTCCTATCAGCTGAGTGATTTGACCAATTACATTTAAGTCATGCAACAAGTTTTGTAAATCTTGATATAGTTGTCCTGGTCCCATGTAAACTTTGTCTACAAAATAAGCAAAAAGAAAAAAAAAAGAATACAAATGTAAAGCCATATTTACTCCAATAATTGAGGGAAGAAAATACTATAATACTAGTTAAATAATTTTTAAGTTGAGGGGTGAATCTAGAACTTTTAAAAAGTGGGCATTTTCAAGCATTTAGTGGTTTTTCCTTTTCTAACATTTATTTAGAAATAATTTTAGATGGAAAAGTTGCAAAGAGCTGCCTCCTGAGTGCCCAGGCCTGGCATCCCCGAGGATAACATCTGACGTAAGCGTAGCATGACCGTCAAATCCAGGACACCACATTGACATGGCACTCCTGACTGATCTACAGACCGTCTTCAAACCTCACCGCTTTCGCACAAATGCCATTTTCTAGTCCCGGATCCAGTCCAGGGGCTCACACTGCGTTCAGTGGTCACGTCCCCAAAATCTCCTCCAGTCTGGGGGAGTTTCTCAATCTTCCTCTTTCGCGACCCTGGCATTTTTGGAGGAGGCTGGTGAGTTACAGAATGACAGAATGTCTCACAATTTGGGTTTGACTCATGTTTTGTCCCTTTTGTATCTTTTCAACACTGTTGACATAACAGCTATTAGTAAGAGGCACTTCAAAATGATATTTAATCTCAACCACATTTCCAATAACTGGGGTCATCTACCATCAAAAAGAGTTCCCCAGTGATCTTTCCTGAAGTTTTTTTTTTTTTTTTTAAGGGAATAGAAATGATTTGTCTTCGATGACTTGGGTTAGAGGAACGACGCGTGTCCTGGGGTCTAGGTGCCCAAGTGAGAATTGCTCCACCCCTCACAGAGAGTTTCCTGTGCACTACAGGAAGTGATGTTCAAATACTTCCTCATTAAATCCCACGACGGGCCCATAGGCACATAGGACAGATTCCCACATCTCCCCACCTGACTGATGACAGATGAGAAGGATTCGATCTCAGAATTAGCCTGAGTGTCTGTACTTTAAGCAATATGCAGTAATACACTCCTTCTTTTCCACTTTTCATAGAAATAAATTGTCTAAGGTCAAACAACCAGTAAGAGAAGGAGCCAAAATTCAAACCCAAGGAGAAGAAATTCACTTAAGTTGAGTAAGGTGCCTTGTGTTTCAGTCGGACAGGCCTCCCGGCCGTGGGTCTGTAGAATCGCACAGACCTGAGCATAGTGGAATCACACGGACCTGAGCTTACAGCGCCCAGAACTTGGTCTCAGGCTCTGACGTGGACATTCTGAAATTCTTTTTCTTTTCTCTCTCTTTTTTTTTTTTTTCTTTGAGACGAAGTCTCGCTGTTGTCCCCAGGCTACAGTGCGATGGTACCATCTTGGCTCACTGCAACCTCTGCCTCCTGGATTCAAGCGATTCTCCTGCCTCAGCCTCCTGAGTAGCTGGGAATACAGGCACCTGCCACCATGCCCAGCTAATTTTTGTATTTTTAGTAGAGGTTTAGTAGGGGTTTCACCATGTTGGCCAGGCTGGTCTTGAACTCCTGACCTCAGGTGATCCGCCCGCCTCGGCCTCCCAAAGTGCTGGGATTACAGGCATGAGCCACTGCGCCCCGCCTGGACATCCTGAAATTCTTAATAATTTTGAAGAAAGGACTCTGCATTTCCTTCTGTGCTACATCCCGCAAATTATGCAGCTTGTTCTTTTAGTGTATGTAACATACATAATACATATATATGTCAAAACTGAAAGATCCTACATATTTCCAATAAAAATATTTCAGATATATGTATCTAAAAATATTTACTATACAACTGAAGAGTAGCATAACCATTTATAATTTTGCAGGCACTTTATGTTAAAGACAAGCTTATGTGGTATTTATGCACATGGTAGGCCTGATTTTCATCCACTAGCTAGACAAATTCAATTACTAACTGCATTTGAAGTATCATGAAGTTTCATAAAAAAGGGAGCAGCCAGGCACAGTGGCTCACTCCTGTAATCCCAGTGCTTTGGGAGACCGAGGCGGGAGGATCACCTGAGGTCAAGAATTTGAGGCCAGCCTCACCAACATGGAGAAACCCCGTCTCTACTAAAAATACAAAATTAGCTGGGTGTGATGGCGCATGCCTGTAATCCCAGCTACTTGGGAGGCTGACGCAGGAGAATTGCTTGAAGCCGGGAGGCGGAGGTTGCGGTGAGCTGAGATCACACCATTGCACTTCAGCCTGGGGAAAAAAAACAAAAAACCCCCTCAAAAAAAAAAAAAAAAAAAAAAAAAAAAAAAAGGGCAAAGTGATCCAGTAGTTACACATAGCAACTTTATGTATCCTTACAGAATGCTTACAATTTAAAATGTTTCATAACACACATATTTGCTTTCATTCATAAACTCTGATAATAAACTCTATAAACACAACCTTGTAATACAAGTATAGGCTAGGTGTCGTGACTAATGCCCACAATCTCAGCATTTGGGAGGCCAAGGTGAGAGTACTGCTAAAGGCCAAGAATTCAAGACCAGCCTGGGCAACATAGTTTAAAAAAAACAAAAACAAAAACATAGAGTTAAAAAAAAATTAGCCAGGCACTGTGGTGCATGCCTGTAGTCCCAAATACTTGGGAGGCTGAGGTAGGAAGATCACTCGAGCCAAGGAAGTCAAGACTGCAGTGAGCTATAATTGTGCCACTGCACTCCAGCCTGGGCATCCAAACAAGACCTTGTATCAAAATTAATAAATAGATGAGTAAATAAAATTATAAGCGCAATGTTTATTAATTAGTTGACTTCTTTTAAAATATGATCTTCACAATTATCATCCAATCAAATTGAACCTTCTATTTTTGGTGTGCAGCTCTACATATTTTCACACATGTATACATGCATATAAACATCTCCCCAGTAAGCCTGACGGGGAACTCCAGGGCACACACAACAGCTCCGTCACCCACAGAACAGCTCCATCACCTACGGAACAGCTCCATCACTCACAGAACAGCTCCATCACCTACGGAACAGCTCCATCACTCACAGAACAGCTCCATCACCCAGAGAACAGCTCCATCACTCACGGAACAGCTCTATCACCCAGAGATCAGTTCCATCACCCACGGAACAGCTCCACCACCCACAGAACAGCTCCATCACCCACGGAACAGCTCCAACACTCACGGAACAGCTCCATCACCCACGGAACAGCTCCATCACCCAGAGAACAGCTCCATCACCCAGAGAACAACTCCATCACCCAGAGAACAGCTCATCACTCACAGAACAGCTCCATCACCCAGAGAACAGCTCCATCACCCATGGAACAGCTCCATCACCCACGGACCAGTTCCATCACCCACGGAACAGTTCCACCACCCACAGAACACCTCATCACTCACAGAACAGCTCCATCACCCAGAGATCTGCTCCATCACCCACGGAACAGCTCCATCACTCACAGAACAGCTCCATCACCCAGAGAACAGCTCTGTCACCCACGGAACAGCTCCATCACCCAGAGATCAGCTCCATCACACACGGAACAGCTCCATCACCCACAGAACATATGGGATAGTCACAGGGATTCACAGGTGCACAGATTTCAGTTCATTAGGAGGAGTAGGTTCAAGAGGTCTAGTGTAGTTAATAAGGTATTGTATACTTGAAAATCACTAAAAGTGGACTTTAAGGTTCTCACCATGAACAAACGGCAAGTGTGTGAAGTAAGGCATATGCTAGTTAGCTTGATTTAGCCATCCCACAATGTATACATATTTCAAAACATCATGTTTTAAACTGTACATGTATATGATTACTTGTCAATTAAAAACATAAACCTTTTTAAAATAAAACACACACACATACACACGCGCGCGCGCGCGCACACACACACACACACACACAGTGCTACCGATGTGAAACTATCAGGGGAAGGGATAATACTCTTTTCCTAGTGTATTAAAGAACCTTCTGTACTGAGATAAGGAGGAGTTCCTCAACCTTACGGAGCATGGAAATGTGCTGAAGTTTTACGTCTGCCGGATCATCAGACAGTTCGTAACAGGGCACCGTCAGGGCACAGATGACACCACAGAGCAACCCGAGGCTTCCTCATCAATGGGGACAATGTGCGCTACCAAGGAAAGCATCTGCACTCACATCCCAAGAATAACAACAAACCACACAGTGCAGCCAGTGCTTTTCAAATGTGATTCTCAGTTTCAGAAAGAATTGTTTCATGCTGATTTCAGGCCAAAATTGATTAAAGAAACCCCTGCAGTCCAGGCGCAGTGGCTCACACCTGTAATCCCAGCACTTTGGGAGGCTGAGGTAGGCGGATCACCGGAGGTCAAGAGTTCGAGACCAGCCTGGCCAACATGGTGAAACCTCGTCCCTACTAAAAATACAAAAAAAAAAAAAAAAGAAAGAAAAAAGAAAAATAGCTGGGCGTGGTGGTGCACACCTATAGTCCCAGCTACTCAGGGAGGATGATGCAGGAGAATCACCTGAACCCAGGAGGCGGAGGTTGCAGTGAGCCAAGATCACACCATTGCACTCCAGCCTGGGCAACAGAGGGAGATTCCATCTTAAAAAAAAAAAAAAAAAAAAAGACAGAAAGAAAAGAAAAAGAAAAAAACCACCTGCAGATGAGAATTTCTGTCACAGTTGACTTCCAGCCTCTAGTTGACAATTTCTGGAGTTTCCAGTTCTTTGTCGTTGCAGTGACACACAATTGCTGCACTTCTGCAAGAGCACTTCCCGAGTCTTTCTCACGGACACTTCTCTTGTTTCCATGGAAATCCCTGCAATCTGTTTGAAAATTCAGGGTCTGTCAGTGAAACAGAATTTTGTGTGGCAGACAAGGAAGGGTTTGTGTGGCAAGATCAATAGCAAGGATGGCTGGAAAAGCCCCTGGGGGTGTGCTCGGTCCCTGAGAACCTCCATGTCTGGGCTCAAGGGGCACCCTCACAGCATCTTAAAGCCTCTCCTCCACGGTGTGAGACTGTGAGGTGTCCGAGCCGGAAGGTGTCTCCACTGCAGAGGAGGTGAGGTCAAGG